GAAGACAGTGCAATACATCCTTCCCAGATACAAGTACATTATAGTTGAACTTCTTTGCCATCTCTGGAAACAAAATATTTTTCATGTGGAAATGTAGAAAATTTTAATTTCACACTAAACCAGAATAGACTAGTTCAAACAATGAGATATGGCGACAACATAAAGAAGATCAAGAAAAAGGAGATAGCTCTGGAGAAAAGGTGATACTATGAAGACAGGCCCTTGTTGGGAGGGGAGGAGGACCTAAATGCCTTCAAGCTGAGTCAAAGAACAGCAAGTCATCTGACCAAGAAGGAGCTGAAGGGTATCTGCAGCAGCAAGAACCAATAAGATGGGTCAGATGACTGTGGATAAAGGGTTGCGGCTACATCAAGAGATTATACCTGTAAACCAGCCAGGCTTGGCATTTCAAGAACCAGGCTAAGAAAATCAGTTGGGGAGAGAAGGTGAAACTGGTTAGAATGAATCATCAACTATTATGTTAATCCAAGTTGAACTCAGTGATTAAATAAATAGTCACAGAGAACTGCCTACTGGTATATGAGCATAATCTCTATATTAATTATTTGGGTTCAAAGTGAAGCTATTTCCAAGTGATCAAGGTTAATAGCAACAGTAATAAGTCAGATTGATAGTATGAATCCTTGATATGATGTGATGAAAATGGCACTTTACCTTTGTGGTCTTCCCCCACAAAACTCACAATCCCAGTCTAATTATGAGAAAAACATCAGACAAATCCCAACTGAATAAGACATTCTACAAAACATCTGACCAGTACTCTCAAAACTGCCAAGGTCATCAAAAACAGGAAAAATCTGAGGAACTGTCAGCCTAAGGAGACATGACTAAATGTAACATGGTTTCCTGGATAGGATCCTGCAACAGAAAAAGGACACTAGGTAGAAATTCAGAAAATATGAAAAAAGTATAGACTTTAGTTAATAATAATGTATCAATATTGGTTCATTAATAGTAACAGATGTACCATACTAATATACAAGTGTAGGGTATATATCAACAAATACCATATACTATTATAATTTTTCTATAAATCTAAAAATGTTCTAAAACTATAAAATTTATTTTTTAAAATGTAGTTTATTTTACTTACTAACTTTGAGCAAGTTACTTAGCCTTTCTGTGCCTCATTGGCATCATCTGTAAAATTAGAACAACTCAGAAATTTGTTGTAAAGTCTAAGTGAGTTAATATACTAAAGTGCTTAGAACAGTTGCCTCACTGATAAGCACCCCGTCAGTATTAACTGTATTGCATTATTATTATATTATTATTTCTGAATATTTGTAAAGTATAGTAACATTTTATGCATATTGACTAAAAATAGTCTGACATAAAATATTAACATCTAACTTTATAAACAAAACTTGAAATAATGAGTTTCCCCCCAAAATGTCAAAAGTACATAATTCCAAAACTGACAAATCAAGTGAAGTATAAACTGTGTTTATACTATGGTCGCAAGGTGGGCCACCATGTGAGCCTTGCTGACCCTGGTACAAATTCATCCTGAATTAAGGTCTTAGTAAACTATTGTCCACATAAAAGGTGACAACTCTGTAACTTAGGATCTATAATTCCTCACGGTGTAAAAAACCAAAATTTGTATTTTAATACCAAAGTAACAACTTAGATGATTCCCATGGAGAAAAAGGTGGCTAGGCTACACGTCCAAGATCAAAGTTAGAAAAAGAGAGACTTTTAAATCACTTAGCTGTGTGGTAGCAAGACTTATCAGAAGTCTAAGGCTCAGGCAGACATTTCCCCTAGCTAGAATACAAATTATCAAACACATTAACAACATGACGCCTCTTAACACCTGCTTTAAATTGTCCAGACCCACTGTAGGTGTTATGATTCTGTGTATGTAAAATATTTCAGCTACCTTCCCCTTTTTCTAATAACTGAAAATTTCAGCCTAAGTTTTGAGGTCTACATAAATGTTATAACTGCCTAAATAAGAAATGCTCCACATAGCATATGTATTTTCCCACTATGACTTTAATACTTTAAGATATCAATTTGTAGTATGCGCAAATAAAATGTTTACTAGCTTATTTGCAAATATTATAGAAAAGAATTGTTATCAAGTTATATACAAAAATTTGATGAATGTCAGTGTAGCTTCTTTTGACATTAACACTGACAGGTTTTTTTTTGTTTACAGTAGATGGGCAACCACCTAGAGAGACTGCTCACTTAATCAAAAAGCTGGGAGCAAATAAATATATCCAGCCTTACGACAAAGATCAAAGACTCAGAGCAGGAGGATTGAAGGAAGATGTGAGAATTAGATACATTTGATCTAGAAAAATTGGAGAAGTTAAAAGTATACACACAAATGACATTTCTAAAATCCAGAATTTTTTTCTTTTTTTGCAATAAGATGTTAAGACAGAAATTTCGAAGCATTGAGAATATTAAATTACTCTGACACATTTCCCCCTTCTATCTAAAAAATCAGAGATAATTTAAGTACACTTTATTTTTGAAATAATATTTTAGAAATAGTTTTGGTCACTGCAGATGTGAACTGTTTACTCCCATTTTATTATTTACTTTATTAATCATTTTGGTTAATATTTTAAAAACAACTACATTTTAGATTTTTTTAAAATATCATTTTCTTATATTTATATTTCCTATAAATATGTCAATTTTATATTCCTGAAGTATACTCACAGCAATTTCTCAGTCAAAAAATGCAATATTTTTCATAATGAATATCCCAATAAGCTATTTAAATATGGATATTAAAGAATAATTTAATTTTAGTAGTCATTAACTATGTAAACTACCTTTGTTGTAAAGAAGTCAATTATGTAACCAATGTGTATATAATATTTACAAAATTATACATGTATATAAATTTAATACTCACATATGTATAAGCTCTCCAGATTGTAGATACATGTTAAGATTGTTATAATTTATGCTGGTAAATGGTTTGTTTTGTGTAATTTTGTTAAAATATTCTTAATATACTGTATTGATTTTCAAATTGAAAGATGATCACTCATTGGTTTTCCACAAAAATAACAAATCCTGAGCCTTTTGCTATATAAATTATTCTCCTCTGGCAACAAGTCTCCAAAGAAAATACAAAACAATGAAACCACATTAACTCAACTGATCTCCATGTTAAAATTATTAGTGGTTCCTTTTCCCCTAAGATAATGCCAAGTCACAAACTAATTTAAAAAAAAATAATTAAATACATTGGTTACCTATGTAAAGATATTATTCCCTTCTCTCTATTACACAAATGATTACAGATGACTGGTCTATATTTATTATTATTCCAACACCACAATTTGGAATTCTATGTTCTGAAGGATAGAAGACGAGAAGGTGGTAAATATCCCCAAGTAAGATATATTTAAATATATGAACTCATTTTGTCTCCATCTCTTGTGATGCCTATATTAATAATTACAAATGTTATCAAAACCTGCAAAGAAATTTTAAAGGAAAAGGATCCACAATCAAACTAGACAAATGATAAGCTATCTGTATCTTTAAATATGTTGAAATATTTGAGTGTGGATGAATCAGAAAGATGACTTTCATGCTCTAACTTGTTACATAAAATCCTACAGTAGTTTAAACTGATTAATGAGATAATCCATTTCAAAGATAAAACCTGGTTCCAAGGGTGAATATGGAAAAAGTCATTATGCAATTACCAACATTTTCCTTATTTTCTCTCCTCAAACTCATTTCCCCTTCTTCTTGTCCCCTTTTAACCAGCTGACCACATCTAGCCCCTCTATGATCCTTTAAACTCTCCTGAAGGAATGTCCTTCACTTCCCTAAATAGCACAATTTTCAGTGAAGTGAAGGCCAACAGGAATCAGTAGCTGTCATCTTAGAAAGAGACATAGTACTGTATTCTCTGTATTAGAGTGGAGAGCTGCAACACAGGCAGGACAAAGAGAAATAACCATAAGAAAAATATTGACAACTACAATGGTGTGAAAGAATTATTGACAACTACAAAGTGCATCTCCTTGTAAAACCTTTCATTTTCATTAAGATTGAGAAGTGAGTCTATAATCTGTTGCAAACTAAAATGTCATAAAAATTTTACACTAAAGAAATGTCTCCTATAGTTTTGCTAAGATTAAGGAAGGTAAATGAATGCAGCAAACTTCAAGGCAATGATGCATAAAACTGCTATTATGTGTTATTTTCAAGGCAGAAACAGATCTACATATGGAACAGAAGATATTTCATAATGAATGCTGTTTGTTGTCTTTATAATTTTACAAGATTAAAATGAATAATTTTAAATCCTAGCAAAAATACCACATATGCATACCAAGAGGTTATATATGTGTATGTATGCAGAGGTACATATATATTCATAGATTTTAAACAATAATTCTAAATTATTTCAAAACATTAAAGATAATATACCCCACACCCCATTTCTAACAGTAAGAAAATAATCAACCTGCATGAACTGGAATCAGATTCATTTTCTTCTTCACTAGTGCCATCATCCACTTCTGGTCTATCCAGCCAGTGTGCACCGCCACAATCTTCTGCTGTAAACTCAAGTGCAGGGACTTCAGAGGTGGATGCCATTGGCCAAGAAGATGAACTCTGAAAATCCAGTTGGCTGGACCTTCGGTAACCAATTGAAGCCAAAGGCAATTGTAGGTTACATGGATCTAAAAACTTTCTCCCACCGTTTGCTCCGGTCTGTCCTCGATTCCAAAATTCTCCCTGCTGGCTGTCAACTGTAGAATTAGGAGATGATGCTTGATGGCCAAACCACCTCCATCTGATTTTCAAAATCTGCTTCACATCAAACTCTTTACGAGAACCAGACATCCTCAGAGAAACCAAGTGATCGTCTAGGCAACGGGCAAAAAGCACTGCACACAAATTTGTGCATCCAGCCAAGACAAGAGAAGTATATATCCTGCTGTACACAATAAACAGATTGAAAGGAAAATAAATCACATTCACATATATATATATATATCTACATTTACTTTTCAACCGATATATCAGATTATAAAGAACAAAGGAGAATGAATAAAGATGAAACACGGTGGAACATTCCGTTCAATCAGAGCAAACTCTAACCCACCTATCCTGAAGCAGCTAGCCCACTTTCCCCAGCTCTCCTTTCCCATACTGACCATTAGCTCTCACAAACACTGACAGCATTCATTAAAGTCCTTTCAAATGCAGAACACCACCCCCTTTCCTTAAACCACAAATGACAGAGACAGACAGCACCGTCCCCTCGCTGTATCTCAGCCTCCGCTGCTTAGTATATTAACTCTTTTATTGCTGAAACAAGAAATTTATTCCAGAGCCTTTTTCTTTGTACTTAAAGATCACTGTAAAACTAAAGTGTTTCTATATTTAAACTAAGTTCCTAAATGAGATATCACAAAACAACAGGGTTTTTTTAAAGTATTTTTTTAATGAAATGAGTTCTAGTGATTTTCAAGCTGTGCTCTTTGGCTGGGGGATGAGGGGCAGGAGGAGCACAAAGGTGAGGCTTCAGTTTGTCGCTTTCCACCTCTGTCTTCTCCCTTCAGGAAAGGAGTGTGTTTAATTAATACAGTAAGATCCTAGGGAAGATTTCATTTGAGCAAAGAAGAAGAAGAAGTTTGAAAACTACAAAGGATCAAAACATGGCAGTAATACTACTCTTTTTCAAGTAAATAACATGAATTATAGAGCCAATACTGCTCTGTACCACTCTATAATCAGGATTGGGCTACAATTTAGTATAATATCCAAATTTCTATGGCACTACTGTATTTAGAAAAAGGAAAGTATGGCTCAAGAAAGCTACCAAAGACTGTAATAGGACTATATCTTGTGTACAGGTACCCTAATGGTTGTTCGCAAAACAAAACGATGGTCTGAACATGGTTACAGATAAGACAAGTTGATAAAGCAAATAAAAATCAATCAGATGCAATCAAATTGTAACATATTGAGTAGTTACTGTGAGCAAGACACTACTAGGCACTGTGGGAGACACAGACATACACATCTTAGTTCCTACTCTCAAAAATAATTACATCTGGGGGCAGGCCAAGTGGCGCATTAGTTAGGAGTTGGCTTGGGACACCAGCTCTGAGCAGCAGGGCCCCGGTTTGGATTCCACATGAGGGCCAATGACACTGCGTCCTCTACAACTAAGATGGTGAACAATAGCTCAACCTGGAGCTGGGCTGCCGTGAGTTGCCAGCAATGGCGTAGCCTGCAGTAGGGGCTGGCTGGCAGCGGGTGTGAGCTTTCCTGAGCTGCCCTGAGCTGCCATGAGCGGCTGTCCAATAGCCGGGGAGTGAATTGCCTCACCTGGGAAGAGTGCAATGATAATACCAACATGGGCCAGTGAAGCGACGTCCTCCTCAACTAGACTAAAGAACAAAAAAGGACAACTTGTCTGTTCCCTTGTCCCGACTCCCCAACACTGTTCCCCTCCCCGAATCCCCCAATAAAATCTTTAAAAATAATAATAATAATAATTACATCTGGTTAGCAAAAGTATTTGATAATTTAAATATAAAGACCATTTTCAGGGTGCTCAATATCTAATACTATGCCAAATATTTCACTCAAAAGACAATGCCTTTTATCAACTGACCAAGAAAAAAGCTGCTTTGGAGGCGTAAAATATATTGTGAGGCATGAGGCGTAAAATATATTGTGAGGCATATATCGATATATCCTAACCTCACACAGCTCTTTAGGAGAATAAAAGTTATTCAGAGAAACAAGAATGAGAGGCATAAAAAAACCATACACAATTCTGTACTAAATACCATAGGACAAACAATAAATACTATAAGAAAGAGAATGGAGATATCAAGACAATGTGGGATGGTGTGGGCAAGTTTTACTAGGGAGAAGGTTTCTAATAGTAAGAAGTTATATGGGCAGAATGATGATAGATTTTATAATGGAAGAAAGATTTTTAAAAAGCATAAAGTGAGCATATTGACAAAAAAGGGGGGAAATATTAATCAGCCAGTCAGACATCCCTAATTAATTTTAAGGAGTAGTAAGAGATAAAGTTGGATGAATACGATGAGATAAAATGCCTTGAGCGCAAAGCAAAGACTAGCAGGCAATATTAAGTGGATTGCTGAACAGAATCGTAATTTAGAAAATTAATTTGGCAGGAGTATGCATGATGCATTAAAGAATGAAATGACACTTTTCCCTCTCCTCTCACCTGTCAGACTCCTTATCAACACCTTTCTAACTCCACTCTACCTATCCAACTTCATTTCTATTTTCCAACATAGATATCCCACTCCATCAGTCAAGGCAGAGTACATTATCTTGCTCCCTCTTTTATATGCTGTTTGTGATTCAATTTCTATGGTTTTAAAATCCTACTCATCCTTCATGGTTTAGCACAGGCACTACCATCCTTAGAAAAACTTCTCCAATTACTCCAGCCTCGTAATTCTCAATAAGGATAGCACCAACACCCCACCCCCACCCAACAAGAGGGATGCTGGAAGTTGAGAGGGTGGAATTTTAGCTGTTGGAATGACCAAAGAGTGCTATTGGCATTGAGTGGACAAGGGCCAGAGACGGTAAACACCTTGTAATGCATGGTACAGGCCCACACAATGAGGAATTGCCACTGCAGTAGTTCATAATGGTCTTGCCATTGTTGTCTTCATTCACATGAGTATTTACCGACCATTTATATGCACAAGGCACCACAAGATATAGAAAGATGAATTAACAGATCATTTTTTTTAAGAGGTTTTAAACTTACACTCGGGTAGAGAAAAGGATAATTAAATGAACATTACAAATAAAGTATTTTGATAAACACAATTTTATAAAATATAATTTTAAATTGGATGAATCAATGTGAGAGCATTTATCAGAGATTCTACTTATAATGTGCTAGCTCCAATAGCCAGAAGTGATTTTAATTGTTTTGTTGTTTGGTTGACTGATGTAAGCCTAAACTCAAGAATGGACTTCATTAAAGATCACTGAGAAGCCAGACATTTCGCAATATAAAACAGAGAAGAAATCCAAAAACTTAAGGAGATGTGAATGTTAAATTATTAAACCATGCCCCCACACCCAAGAGGACCCAAAGATCCTTTCCACCAAGATATTGAGATATACATTAAATATAATATATACCGCCTTAATGTAGTACCTGTTCTGAATAAGCTAGAAACACAGGCGGGAGATTAGCCATTGAAACAGGCTCCCTGCTTTTAAAGGCATACAAGGATCTCAGGTTGACAAAGTCCAAGCAGCAGCATTTAACCACTCCTGTCATGATGATCATGGGTTTAGTTACATGCATACATATTAGGTTGTCGGAAAAGTCATGGCGTATTTTGTCTATGTCTTTCAAAGGTCATTTATTTATATAAAGAACAAAGATCAATCGATATATTGGCTGTTTTGTTCGATAACCTTTTGCCATCTTTCAATGAGCTTCATAATTCCTTGTTCATAGAAGGACCTGTCTTTATTTGCGAAAAACTGAACAAGGTACTGATTTACAGCCTCATCTGAATTGAACGTTATACCACACAAGGACTTTTGAAGAGAGCGAAACAAGTGGAAGTCTGATGGCGCAAGGTCAGGCGAGTATGGTGGGTATGGCAACACATCCCATCCAAGCTCCAATAATTTTTGACAGATGACGTTGTCATGATGGAACACAACTCCATTATAATTAAGAAGCTCTGGATGTTTCTGGATGATGGATTCGTTCAAACTGTCCAACTGCCAACAGTACACATTCGAATTGATTGTTTGGTTCCTCAGTAGGAGCTTGAAAAACGACACCTTTAAAATCCCACCACACTGAGAGCATAACATTCCTCTGATGAATGTCTGCTTTCAATGTTGTTTGAGACAAATCATGATGTCAGGACCAAGACCATTTGCACACCACATTGTTGTAAACAATCCATTTCTCATCATCACTTATCAGTCACTTCAAAAAAGGATCATTTTCCTCACGTTTAATGAGCATACTGCATGTTTATACGTGCCGTCAAATGAACTTCTCTGAGATCATGAGGAACCCAAATATCGAGCTTGCTTACGTATCCCAGCTTCTTCGGGTGGTCATGAATGCTTGAATGATGGATGTTCAATGTTTCTGCAATCCCTCGTGTTGTGTAACGTGGGTTTGACTCGATCAGTGCCTTTATTTTGTCATCATCAACCTCGGTGGGTCTCCCTGACAGAGGAGCGTCATTGAGATCAAAATCACCAGCACAGAATTTCGTGAACCATCGTTGGCACTGACGTTCTTGTAGAGCATTGTCACCGTAAACTTTGTGCAACTTTTCACAAGCTTGAATCAAGTTCTTCCCTTTATGGAAGTAAAACAGTAAAATACAGCAAAAATACACTGTTTGGTATTCCATCTTCAACTTGTAAAATCTCCAAATCCAATCAAATAGCTCAATTTTTTTTTAATAAAGCTAGAACTGTCAGCTGTCAAATGACATAGCAATAACATAAATGCGAATGACTCCAGTACTCCCAAAAGTGAACTAGTGCCATCTGTTGCAAACATGTGTCATGACTTTTCTGACAACCCAATACACATGTGTGCATACATACATACATGTATGTGTACATATGTATACATGCATGTGTACATACACACACATCCCCAAAACCCAAAACCTTTTGTACCAGTGGACTCACACTGCATGCTTATTTTTACAGAGACATTCATTTTGTCAATTCTCCTACACTCATTCTCCCCAGTAATCAATGTTGACAGGCTAGTATATAGCCTTTCACATCTTTCTCCTTGTTTATAAAATCATATATAAACTTACATACATTCTATTGTCATATGAGAGAATATACTGTATATATCTTTGGCATTTTGATTTTCTCATATATATTATACATATATGAACTAATAATGATCTTTTTAATAGT